AAATCCTTGGGCCCAGGGTACCTGTTATTGTATTGTACTGTTGCATTGTTTGAACCGTACTAAATAGCAGTGTTTATAGACAACGTTTTCGTGTCTATTTCCGGTTTCACCGGCCATACTCTGTTTAAAGAGTTTCATTTGTAATTCTTTGGGTATGTACCTCAATGCAAAATGTCTACCCTTGTTTATGGGTTTAAATTACTTTCTTTAGTGTTAACTATCGAATTGTTTACCCTATTATTTTGCATTTGAGTGTTCACATAACTCCCTCTGGAATTATATCATGTTGCTGTTTGTATAGCAAATTATTTTCTATGTGCGCCGTGTGCGTTGCATTTATGTTTTTTATGTGTGAAATGTTTGTTTATGCATTTTGCTCATTTTGCACTAATAATGTTCCAAATATTCTTATTGCGTTTGTTTATTAACAATCAATTCCTATATTTCAACTATAACTTTCAGTTTATTGTTACCACAATTTTAGTTACTTTTGTATCTTTGTCTACCATTTTGAATGTACTACTGTACTTTCTGTACTTTTCCATTCTTTTATTACTTGTTGTGGTAATTTCTCTAACTTTAAATCCACTCTGTGAATTCCTTGAACTATGCTGTATTTGTACCGGCATTCTAGTTGTAAACCTGAAAGTTTTTAAAACATGCATAAGAATTATTAAATACCTGTAAAACATTCTATTAGGCCTTGTATTTAAAGTCATTTTGATCTACTTACTTCCATCAACATCAAGAGTCGAGCAATGACACCCACGCATCCACGAAAGCAAGCCACATTTTGTAATTCTCCTCTTCAATACTGCAAAACCTTTACAGCGCCGCACCCCATGGGCACTGACCCCACAGGCCACAGGAGTCTCGGGACGTCGACGGCGTCCTGGGCCAGAGTCGCGAAAAGGACGCCCGTCCGTCCCCGGGCCGTGCTTCGGCGAGGCCTCGATGGAGGAGGGCGTCTCCCTAGCACCACAGCGACGCGACACCGCGACGACGTCAAAGGGCTGTGCGGCGCGGCCTTCTATGTTGGGGGGGGGGGGGGAATAACAACCCGCGCCCTGCCGTTGGTCGGCCCCGCTGTCGCATCCATCCCTTGCTTCTGTGCGCCTCTCACGGAGGACAACCTGCACGTCGCCAACTACTCGCTCTGCGACTACGTCGTAGTTGCATGTAGTGGTTTAGGACGTCCGCCTTGTAGCCGAGGAGGGTGTGGACGACGCTGCGCCTCTCCTCCTGTCACACCTTTGGCCCCACAACTTAGCAATCACCGCACGAGAGCGCGCCACCTCTCGCCGGAGGCCGAACCGACTCATTGCTTCCCAGAGTGTGTCCAAATTCACAATGCCCATCGCTACGAATCGGTAATCGGTATGAATAGAACGGAATGACGAAGGGGTCGTCAGCCGGAAGGGCATCTCGCAGCCACTGCTCGCGAAGGGCGTCGCGGTTCACGGTCCTCCACGGGGGCAACCGCGACCCGAATCCAAAGAAAAACAGCAGTTCTTCCCGAACCCTTCCCTCCTTGGCGCTGCTTGGCCGACGCGGACGAAGTTCTCGAACCCGACACTAGGGGTCGACCGAACTCGCGGCCAGTTCAAGAACTTAATCGGCGTCAGCCAATTAGTACGCAGTACGGGCTAGGAAAAACCACATGAAGAACTGCTGTTCTGCTGTTCTTGGGTGGTGATGCAAATGCAGACCGATTCGTAGCGATAGAATTGAGAATTCGGACACACTCTCAAACCTTAAATATACTTTTAGAGTGAAACGCGTCGATGTCAGTTGGTGCTGCTCCCTCAGTCGCGTTACCATTCTGTTGTACTTCATTCTCTGTGTTCTTTGGGGACTATAAACCTTATATGAAGAAGTATGCGAGGAAGAAGAAAACGGAAATCACTGCTTTTACATGAGACTTCCGTTTTCTTGTTGCCTGTATTCTTCTGCATTTCAGCTTTACCGGAATGCTTTATTGCACCATCCTACAGCAGTGCATTCAAGGCCTGCTCTGTAAA